CTTCTTGTTCTTCTACTTTTTCTTCTTCTTCTTCTTCTTCTTCTTCTTCTCCTTCTTCTCCTTCTTCTCCTTCTTCTTCTTCTTCTTCTTCTTCTTCTCCTTAGTGACTTCTCCTTCTCCTTTTCCTTCTTCTTCCATCTTCTTCTCCTTTTCCTTAGGATTCTTCTTCTCCTTCTTCTTCTCCTTCTCCTTCTCCTTCTCCAATATCGCTAAAGCATTTAAAGTTCATTAAAAATAAAGCAATCAGAACTGATATTAATTTTTCAATGTTTGATTTGGTTTACCGTTTTGGTTTGAATTCCTTGACTTCCGATAAAACTACTTAACACATTTGGTTATATAATTAACTGTAGCTGGTTAATATAACTTAATTATCAGTGTATTCCCAATAGACTCCATGTATAACACATCATATTCTGTTCTTCAAACACATTACTCTTTAATGTCACTGCTTCTTGGCTGTTTGAGGACGAGCAAACTTTGACTAAATTTGCTAGCTTTATTTCTATCCGTTGGCAAAATTTTGTTTCTTCAAAATATGCAGTTTGTTTATACGTTTATTTTATGAATTATAGAGTTAAAGTGTGTCACATACAAAAACAACAACAAAGCTAATGAGATTTTTCTCGTGACGTCACGCTGTAGAGAAATTTGATTGATTTTACAAAGGAGTTTATGTTCAAAGTTGTCATACCGATATCAGTAAAACTGCGAAGATTCTTGAAGATAGGTAATAAACTATATTGTAGATAGGACTTTTTTTTGAATATAAAATTTTACCTAGAACTTATTATTTTTTTAATCAAAAAGAAAATTTGTTTTACAAAATAAATTTCTTTGTAAAATTTGTCAAGGTTCAAAAATTCATTCTTTCTCTGGATTATCGACAATCTTCACGAAATCTTTACTACAGTTTGGCTAATATGTATAAGATTAATTTTACTGTAATACTTTTTTTTGTGATAAAAGGAAAAATGTGAAATATTTTAAAAAGCGTAACGTCACAGTGAAAAACCTCAATGCAGTCGTTATTTTAGTAAGAAAACTAGTTGTAAAAGACGACCTTTCGCTGTCATCTCGACAAAATGTATACCTAAAAGTACCTTTATCACAGTTGTTATTAGCTGTTTTATCTGGAAGAATAATAATGGCAGGTTTTTTCTCCGCCCTACAGACTCCTAAGTTACAGTATAAGTAATAACGACCAAGTTCTTTATTTAAACACAAGCACTGAGAAGAATTGAAGTCAACACTATAGGCTAGTCGACTCTATATATATTCCCGCCTTTAATTGACAAGAGTCTTTGTGAAAAACAAAAGCTTTTGCACTAAAGATGTTGTAATTTTAAATTTACACTGCTTACAGCACCTATTGATATAGAAATATGCATTCAACACTATTTTTCTTTGCGCTTTCCCCCAAATACAGAATACTTTGTGCAAAACAAGCGCTTTTGCACTAATAAAACTGTCCTATTTTTGACACGGCTTACAGCACTTACTGATATAGAAATATGCATTCAACACTATTTTTCTTTGCGCTTTCCCCCAAATACAGAATACTTTGTGCAAAACAAGCGCTTTTGCACTATAAAACTGTCCTATTTTTGACAAGACTTACAGCGCCTATTGATATAGAAATATGCATTCAATACTATATTTATTCGCGTTTTCCCCCAAATACAGAATACTTTGTTGAAAACAACGCGCTTTGGCGCTATAAAATTGTTATATAAATTTTTACAGTCGGTTTTCATCATCTATCGATGCTATAAAAGTATTAACTGGTATACATAAATACATTCCCGCCCTGTCAATATGTCTTTAAGTCTATTTAGAAGAGATCCGATTGGCTTCTCAACGCTATCGATTGTATTGTTCATTATTGCAATATACTATAATTCTAATTTAAGTTCCAATACGCATCAGTATGCATAGTAGGTAAGGCTTTTCTCTGATTGCAATGCCGTTGAAATTTGCTTAAGCCAAAAAAACCATTCCATCGATAAATGTAATGATTGATGACGAAGATTAACGCCCAAGATACGTTTATTTACAGCTTTACAGCAATTTACTTTTTTTCAAGAATAGCACTTTTTTTTTCTTATTCACATTTGTATTTCCTCATGAAAAAAGTAGCTCTTATACCCGTTTGGAATAATAATTCCAAAGCGCGCTATTCAATCTATATTGCGCAATAACCTGCAAGACTTCGAACGTTTAAATCGATAAAACTCTAAGATTAGGGACGGGACCGCCATTAACGTGGTCATCCGAGCCACTTGAAGGTCTAACCATTTGCAGAAGTAATTACAAAGGCAGTACCTTCTCCTCAGTTATTTTAAGACCCTGAGTGTTGGTCCGTCCGGAACTCAAACCAGGACCTACTGCACAACATACCGACGTTCTTACCTACTGAGCTAACCTGGTGACGGTGAAGTCGCTTATAAATTCCGCATACGCCCATTAGTGCACAGCACTTAAACATGGCATGCCATCACCTAAAAAAGTTAACAGAAATCCCAAAACTTTTTTCCTCAAATAAGAATGATAAATAATGTGAAAAAAAAAAAAAAAAAAAAAAAAAAAAACCGTACTGAAAACGAACGTTTAACTTTATTTCAATGGTTTGGGCTTGAGTCAGTTTTTTATAATCTTTCTAGCTTCAGTTTCACTCTTTTTCGTGAAGAAATATCCAAAATTGTCTGACATACATTCAATTCAATCATTTTTTAATTTAGTTTCAAGTTAACCCGGACAAATCCAAAGTACTACCAATATTTCATTTAGTTTTAAAGCTAAACAAACTGCAATTATTATAATAATTAAGAGCCCAACGGAAGAGCTTAGGAATACAATTAATACCCCTCCCTTGACATTCTTTCACAACACTTCTGTGTCTTACTTCGCAGGAAAACAAAAACTTGAACAATGCTTCATGTAACATTGTTTGTCTGACTGTTGTCGAATATCGAAATGATTCAGTTTACATTTAGAAAAAAATCGAAAAAAGGGCAAATCATTTTTTTGAATCAGCTTTTGAACCAGCGAGGCAGCTTTGATAAGCCATTTTTCATCTTTTTTGTTTACTCTTTGATTTTTCCAAAGTTTTATATTGAAGTACAATCTACATAAGCTTTACGACACGATTTTTGAATCGGAGAGTCAGTTGGGTGATCAATGTATACGCTCTTTAATAATATTTAGCTCCAGTTTGTTTAGATATTTTACTTCCAAGGTTTAAAATACATAAAGATACATTTGAAAATAAATCAAATGACATAATAATTTGTTTTTTAACTTTCGAAAAAGCTAGCCGGAGAGATGAGTCTTGTTATTTTTCCGAAGTTAACAAAGTTCACGCATATAATATATTATAAATAAAAGAAGTTTTGAAAGTTGGGTATTGAGGTCTTCGAAGTTTTCTCGAGCTATTTCTTCACCGATTCGTAAGGTTTTTTCTTCTTTTTTTTTTGGTTTAGCTGGACTGCAAAAATCTTCAATTTCTGGTACCAAAGATTGCAAAATGTCGACAGGAAACCTTAATGAATTAATCAACATCCTTCCTGCTTAACTGGACAACTCAATGACAGCTTGTAGACAAGTCATTGACACAATGAGTCGAACAATACAATAATGAATTAACTACAATCCACGCTTTCATTCAACACCATGTGCTAATTTTCTTACCAAAGCACGATAAAGAAATGTTAATCGCGCCTATTGACAACGTACAGGGGAAAGGATTAAGCTTAATTGGTCAATTACATGTTTGGTGTGTTTGTTGCTGGCAAATAGACCTCCCCCCTCACACAATTTCTACAGATTTGGGCCGTCATAAACACCTTCTAGGATAGAAATTGTATATTATCAAGACAAAAGGCCAGTACAGAATGTTATGGAATCCATTCAAAGTTGTTAACACTTTTATTGGGGCAGGGACGTTCTTTAGAAATGTCGATATTGGGTCATGGTAGGTTGGATATAAAAGCAAGTGGCTTTGGCTTTGAAGTCATTCGCTTCGAAGCCTTGAAGCAAGACTACTAAAGACGACGAATTCACCGCGTAAAATGGAAGTTGAAAGAACCATGGATAACTCTGCTGAAAAAAGGAATGGTTTTTCGATCTCAAGTATTATGGGATTTCAAAAGAAAAATGTCGAGCAAAGTCGTACTGACTCAAGTAATGAGCGCTTGAATGAAAAACTGGACAACGGTGAGTAAAGAGGAAAACAAAAACCTTTATTACTGAAGTTCCATTTTGAAAAACCATGGTTGAATCTGTTCAATAAAGCGCCTAAAACATTCTATGGTTTCAAATAAGCAAGGTTTCTCATATATTACTTGCACTGGAAACAAAATCCTATCGAATCGAATCATTAAACAACCTCTGGGTTGATGGATCTAAGTCAGGGCACGGCTAACTTACAGATCGAACTCTGAAACAACCTCTGGGCTGATCTAAGTCAGGGCACGGCTAACTCACAGATTGAACACTGAAACAATCTCTGGGCTGATCTAAGTCAGGGCATGGCTAACTCACAGATTGAACTCTGAAACAACCTCTGGGCTGATCTAAGTCAGGGCATGTCTAACTCACAGATCGAACCCTGAAACAACCTCTGGGCTGATCTCGGTCAGGGCATGGATAACTCACAGATTGAACTCTGAAACAACCTCTGGGCTGATCTAAGTCAAGGTATGGCTAACTCACAGATCAAACCCTGAAACAACCTCTGGGCTGATCTAACTCAGGGCACGGCTAACTCATAGATCAAACCCTGAAACGACCTCTGGGCTGATCTAACTCAGGGCACGGCTAACTCATAGATCGAACCCTGAAACAACCTCTGGGCTGATCTAAGTCAGGGCATGGCTAACTCACAGATGGATTTAATTGGAATTTAGCGTGTTGGGTTTTATTGAGAGAGGAAACTAGGAAAATCCGGAGAACTGAACCAAGGGAAAGACCAAACAAACTTTACTCAAATGTGACTGACTGAGTGCAGGAATCTAGCCTGAGATCATAGAGTGTAAGGAAGCGCTGAGTACACCGCCGCCACGCGTGCAATCTTCATGTTTAATAGTATAAAATATAGTTACAAGAATTGCATTAAAAGGCATAAGATTTGAGTATTCGCCAAAAATTACAGGAACAATTGTATGAAGAGATAACAAGCTAAAAACTAGTGTGAGCTGCGTCGGTGTTTCTAATGAAACAGTAATGATAAAAGGGTAAATTATACATCGTGAAAAGATGAAAAAACTTACTGACGTTTCGGACGCTAGTCCTTCATTTACTCCTACGAAGGACTAGCGTCCGAAACGTCAGTAAGTTTTTTCATCTTTTCACGGTGCATAATTTACCCTTTTATCATTACTGAAACAATGTAAGTTACAAAACTTCCCGAAAACGAATTTACAGACTTTTTATATACATATTTTGCATTATTTTTTTAGTGACATTTCACATGTCATACATAGGTTTTTTTGGTCTTTCTGTATCTATTCTTACTTTTTGATGTCATACGAAAAATTAGGCATTTCACTGAATTTATTTATCATTTGTTGAACCTTGATGCGGCACCCATATCGGAAATCAATTTAAAAACTCAGTATTCCTCTTAAAAATAATGAAGTGAAGCTTTGGTATTTTTAAAAAATCTAAGTTATAAAATACGAAAAAATATAACCATGCTTTGAGCATGATGATATACACGCCATCAATTGGACTTCAAGTTTGCGGTTGAGTTAACGTTGCTGAAACTACTTATCGTCATAAAAAATCATTAGAATTCTAGATCTTTACTTGCATAAACAATCTAAGTGCTCGTAAGCCTGACAATTTGTCTCTAACATTTCGATATTAGGCAAATTTTCTTACGAACTCAAAAAAAAATTTCTTATGTAGCGCAGCTGGCGCTTTCTTGAAACCGCGCGCGTGAAAGTCTTTCAAAAACTCCTAGATTTTTCCAAATTTTGCTCAGCTTGTATAAAGTTTTGTCAGATAATCTGTATTTTTTTGGAATCTTCAAATTGATTTTAAGCATGTCATAGAAAATGAAGTATTAAGACCTAAATATAAGTGTTAAAATCTTCAAACAATTGGAGGCCAATTAAGAAGGAGGGGTTGTTGGTTTTGAATGATCGGTGCAAGGGCTCCCTCTGGACTCATTAATAACTACGTACGTGTGTTGGTGGCTCAACCAAAAATACTTGTCACTGATCAATAAGAAATTAGGATAGTGTGGCCAAGGATTTTTTTTTTGAGTGAAATCAAATACAAAATGAATGGACAATTTGCTTGGGCCATCCGTTCAGTAATGCGGTTTGAAGACATTTTGAAATGACTATTTTTGCGAGACCTCCCTAACTTTATTTCAAAATTTAAAACTGAAGAACAAATCTTTTGTTTAATGAAACATTATTTTTGGCCAAAACGTTTTCTTCTTCTTCTTCTTCTTCTTCTTCTTCTTCTTCGTCTTCTCTTCTTCTTTAGACTGGAGAACGTCTTGATTCTAACCCCACTGCAATTCATTTATCAGATAACCACAGCTCGAAACAAACGACAACTTTAAAATCAAGCGAGAAAGTCAAGAAAGTGAAACGATTATCAAACGACATCGACAGTAAAAGATACCGAGCAACCTTCGACAAGGCGCAGATCTTTCACATGGAGAGAGTGTTCCTCATTAATCATTATCCGGATGTCTCAGCTCGTTCTGAACTTTCTAAAGCTACTGGACTTTCAGAATCACAAGTTCAGGTAAGAGAACTTAGACATTGAAATGTTTTATATGTTATTTCTTTTTGTCATTGTCGTCTTGTTCTTCAAGTTCTATATCACTTATTATTGTTGGTGTTTTTGTGTTTTGTCTTCTTCTTCTTCTTCTTCTTCTTTTTCTTCTTTTTCTTCTTTTTCTTCTTCTTCTTCTTCTTTTTCTTCTTCTTTTTCTTCTTCTTCTTCTTCTTCTTCTTCTTCTTCTTCTTCTTCTTCGAGTGTTTGTTGATCAGCAGTTTCTTGTTGTTTTACCTTTGTTGGTATTTTTTTTTTCTTCTCCTTCTTGTTGTTTATCTTCAAGTGTTCTTCTTGTTGTACATGTTTCTCTTCTATTTCTCTTCTTTTTTTTTCTTGTTCTTCTTGTCGTTCTTCTTAGTTCTTCTTGTTGTTCTTGACTAGTTCTTCTCAATTCTACTTATATTGCTTATTATCCTAGCTACTTAGTTGTACCTGTAGTTCTTCTATCTTTGTTCTTCTTAATTATTGCTGTTCTTTTTCGCTTTCTCGACTGATGTGATGTCAACATTGATGAAAACTTCTCATTTGATTCGTATTTTTTCCCCACCATTTCAGATCTGGTTCCAGAACCGTCGCGCAAAATGGCGTAAACAACAGCGCAAGCGCCGACAAGACATTCCTCCAATCTTCGGCTTGGGTTACCCAACACACCTTGCGCGCCTGTACCCAGGATACGACCCCTATGCTATGTTTCCCTACGAGTACTACAACACAGACTTCTGGACATGCGCACAACAACAAATAGCTGCCATACACTATAATGGCTTCCCACCACCACCACCGCATACCACATGTATTTCAAGCCCGTCACGAAGCCTAGGGTCCAGTTCTCCAGTCAGTTCCCCAGTCTCTTCACCTGGTTCTCCAACAAACCTGGACGTTGGTAGTTCCCAGTCCCAGGAAGTAAGTCCCGTTTCTAAATCTGATAAAGAAGCCTTAGAGATACGAAATGACTCGAGTCTACTCTCTCTGAGAGTCAAAGCAAAAGAACATTTGGCTGCCTTGGAAACGAGAGTGACGTCATAAAATGATTAGCAACCAAATACAGTAGAACCCTCTGTTGAGCGACCACTTTCTGGAAATTGTCAGCTGGCTGGTAAATATAGAGGTTAGGTACTTAATAAATGGCCAATTGACATAGATTCTTAATACAGACATATATATTTTTATTTAAGTAGTTTGCTAACGTGTTCCGTTCAGCAATAAAGCCACGTGGAGCGCCGTAAGCACTCAAGAAGTGTGAAAGGCACTCGCCTACGGCTCGGGCTTCTCCTTACATTTCTTTCTTACTTAAGTCACATTCTGCGTGCTTTTTTACTGAACGGAGCACGGAAAAAGCTGTTTTTTGTTAAAATCTTTCTAATGATTCATTCAATTCATGAAGACTTGATAGTTTTTGAAATGACCCTGGCTACTAAATTTAATATTTGCCTTTTTTTTTATTGGAAAAGCAAAGAAAAAAATATTTATGAATTTGAAAATGTATTCACAGGACGTTAAAATACTGTTTAGTGCTACAAGTACATTTTTGGCAAAGAAAGAAGATATTTAAGAAGGCGTTAAGAGTTAAACCATGTAGAAATAATTTTTTTCGAAAAGAGTTTTATTAAAAATTTCGACTTTGACAATTTTTTTGGAGCTAAATAATAAGGGAATTTTTTGCAAGCATATTATGTGATTCTTGGCAAGGCTAAGTGTAAATTTAATGTTTTGGCAATGGCATTGTATAAAAAGATTTTGCTGTTTTCGATCGATTGATATGAAATGACGACAATATAAGTTTGCTATGAACAACAATTTATCATGTTAAATCATTTCAATGCACTTAATTGCAAAGCCATTGTTGGGGGGTTCAGAGTATGCTAGAAAATTCGTAACTGTCCTCTAATGTATTTATTTAGTTGACATACGCGTAAACATTAGAGAGCATACCATATATCCGTGTGAAAACGTTATAAGAAATTGCACAAATTAGTTACTAGTTCTGTAGACCCCAGTAGACCGTAGACCTACAAAAACTTTCCACTAATTTGTACGATTTTGTTAGTTAACTTTTTCATGGATACACTTATTTCAATAAAGTTAGTCAACAAAAACCTAGAAAGCTGAGATCACTGAGCATCATGGGAAACTTTTCATATCAAAAAAAGCATATATATACAAAGCTTTTTTAATACAAACTGCAGCTCGATGATACTCAGAGCCGGTAAAAGATTCGCAAGTCCATGAACAGTTATCAAGCGGTTGAACGTGTAAAATGAATCCACCCATAATCCTGGTCGGCTTAGCTTTATAGCTTTTTAGGTGACTAACTTTATTGAAATAAGTGTATATGGTATACTCTTTAGTGCAACAATTTATAACATTCAATGCCGAGTGCATTATACTAGATACATCTACCGAATAAACTTGTTTCCAATGCACCGTTTCGGTCTTTGTTCTATATTTTGAATCCGATGGTGATTTTACATCTACAGCACACTCAAAAACTGAAAAGAATATTTTTTCTAACGTGTTTTGTACAGTTTTGATTACCTTAAATAGATTAATAACATTTAATTCCAATTTTTAGCTTGAATATATATACTTGAACGTAAAGACAAAAATATTATGTATTTTTAAAATAAGTTTTAAGAGTTTTATCAATTATTTTTAACATATGTAAATAGTGGATGAATTTTTGAATAAAGATTGAATGAAAAAACGTACAAATTAGTCGTGTATTAGTCATCAAAATCAGTGGTGAGAGAAAAGAAAACATTTACCCCATGTCAGATACGAGCTACATTATAAAAACCCACTTCGACGACACGACGGCCATTTTGGATCGCAAAGCACGGGCGTCTAGAGGCCAAATAAAGGTTTGCTACAGTGATAACGTCGATTGATATCAACAGCTTATAACAAGAGAATATACAATAAAAGATGAATTAAGACAGCACATATACATTGATCACATTCGGCTCACAACAGAAAGACAAGCGCAGGAAACTCTATGTATGAACTACAACAATACTTTGGGCGCGTCCCCGAGATCACCTGGGGAAATATTCATTTACAACCACAGCTATTATGGAGGCTTTACACCATCAAGTAATGGCAGCCATGAAAGGAGGCACAACAATAGAATCTGAATTTTTCCTCGTGTAAATCAGATTAGACCAGATTCAATAGCGCAGCGCACTGATTCTAAAAATAGCTTAAAGATTCGGACAAACATTGCATTCTGTTTAACCGCTACRAGGATTATDCGAACCGATTTTATTATTTTTACTTAAAGTTACAATAATAACCCATGTAAACTAAGATCAACTGCGATCGGCTGTGAAAATTATCTGCTGAAAGTAAACTTGTAAGTTTGTTTGTCCGAATTTCGCCTTTGTCTTCGTTTTTATGACGTCACGTTTGCGCTGCGCTATTGTTCCTGCCTCCTGTCATGGCTGCCATCACGTGATGCTGCAAAGCCTCTATACCAATGGAATGCTGCCGCGTGTTGGACGGAAAAACAAAACAACAGATAAACAAAGCCAAAAGTAAAGTGAATATATTCTTTAATATAGAAATCAAAATATAGCAAGAAAAGGTCGATCTAGTTTGTCTTGATATTACAAAAATTAAGGGGTTTTTTCTTGTTCTTTCTTTTGACTCATGTTACCAACTCTATAGTGAACCAATTACCGTTGCAGCAGTTTTCTCAGTGCAATTAAAATCTTGTCCCACAAAGAACTACACAGTATCTGTGTTTTAAAGAGTACTACATGGATTACGAGGCAATTTTCTAGTCTTTTCGCAGGACACGCAGTAAGCTATTGAAACAATTTATAATAAATTTTCCGCGATCAGAGTTTTAGGCTCCGTCCACACGTACCCGCAAATTTTTGTATCCGCAAGTTTTTTTGCGGATACGGGTTGCGTCCACACGTGTCCGGAAATTTTTGTATCCGTATCCGGAAATTTTCGAAAACGGTCTCCAGAGTGGAAATTTTTGAATACGCTCCGAGTACGGACACGTGTGAACGGTCGTATCCGCAAATTTTCGAATACGTTGACGTAAACACGATTTTGCGCATGCTCAATAAGAAAAACTATCCGTCAAAGGGTCTAGGCACTAGCGTGCATCAGGGCGGATCAAGAAATTTCCGGATACGTGTGGACGGGGCCTTAAATTTTGATATATTCTAGATAATTTAGCTTGTGGGACATAGCAACGGTAACTAAGGTGAGTCGGAAACATGAAATCAAATCTATTTATGAAGAATCGATGGATGACGACTAGCGATGTATATGTTATTTACCGGCCAGAAGGTGCGGATAGGAAAACACTGTGCCCTCGCAAAGTCTTGAATATAACGAGGCCGTTGTGTCAAGGTCCTTTTTCAAGACCGAGGGCAGAGTTTTTCCCTATCCGGACTGACCTTTTCCCCCTCCTTTTCCTGTTAGACTTGGTTAGCAATCCGTTATCCCATGCGCGCGTGCGGATGATGTCAAGATACCGGACCGCGGACAGATGCTAAAAAATATCGCCCGCTAGAACAGCCAATCAAACACGCACGATTGTTAGGATACCGGACTGGAAAAAAAAAAGGCTGTGCACGAAGTGGTGTTTGCGGTAATGAATTATAAGCCTACACGAATTATTCTCGAGTTTAAAAGCCCTATCGATAACTACTCATAGTACTATATATATATCAGGTGCTTTTGACAATCATGACCCACCACACCACGCCCTTTTGTTCGGTTCTAATAGACCAGTTTCGAGTTCCAAATTACCGCTGTGTTCCTCGATTACAGACTCATTTGCACAGGTTTAACCTGGAATCAGTGTCTAATTACTCGCAAATACCAACAGAAAAGTAAAGAATGCACAACTTCAACAATACAAACATTTTGAAACTCGACGGACCTTGACTGAAACACGTGAATATTCTGCACAAACTCGAGGCTAACCCTGTGCAAATGAGTCTGTAATCAAGAAACACAGCGGTAATTTTAAATGCGAAAAGAGTCTACTCTGGTCTATGCCAATCAATGAAGGATCTGCGTGAAAAAACTGGAACGGGAATTGATTTTCGTTTCTCCTCTCCTCTCCTTTTTAAATTCTTTCCTTTAGTTCGTTTTTTCTCTTATTCCTTTACTTTTTCTTTCTTTTACTTCTTCCAGTAAACAGTTCCAGTTCAGATTCGCACAGAGTTCTTGATAACTAAAAAAACAAAACAAAAAACAAAAACAAAAACAAAAACAAAAAAAACAAAAAAAAAAAAAAACGAAAAACAAAAAACAAAAAAAATCTCCCTCGAAAAAAACATCATATATCAATATGTACAAGCATTGAAATAACTCTCAAATAAGACAAAAAAGAATCATATTTAAGACTGGTTCAACAGAAAATAACCAAAAACGCAAGGCCATCGACATGTCGATATATCCTAAACGTAGAATCCAGTCTGAGACAGCGATCTTTGTGGCAAGCGGAAGGTCTAGGTAAAAGTGGCACAAGCCTCCTTAATCAAGAGCGTTTTCATGTGACGTCACAGCGGCCATGTTGGCGTACCAAAACAATACATTTTCTATCCTCGGGAAATAAGCCTGAAGCGAGATGACGTTTTACCCCCTACTCTATACCATAATAGTTTTTAAAATTCTTTCATATTAAAATTTTTGATTCCTTAGAGAATACAGGAACAATAGTCATAATTAAAGAACAAAAGCAGTGAGAAAAGGATTATGGTCTAGAGACGGGGTAAAACGTCATCTCGCTTCAGGCTTATTGAACTCTGTTTATGCAAATACTGTGCAGAAAGTTTCTATTGTTTGGCACACCAATATGGCTGTCTTGTCACGTGAGTGAAAACGCGCTATGATTATTCGTTAGCCTTGTCCAGAGTCCTTTGCAGCTTTGCGGAGACCAAAAGGTATGCAGGCTCGCAAGACAAAAATATATGTGATACTAGTAGATGATAAGTGCAAGGCGATCAATATTGTGATGATGATTATTAATGCTATTACTAATCTGTGATATTCTAATGATAATTATTAATTCTATTACTAAACTATTATCTAAGGGACGAACCATTAGATACTTGAGGGGGGGGGGGGGGGGGGGAGTCGCAAAAACCCAAAATGATATCGAGCAAGCACTTAAACCTCAGAAAAAATATCGTGCAATCTCTTCTGCTAGAAGAAAAATATCTAACTGTACGCAAAAAAATAACGTGCAAGGGTTGAGCCAAATAAAAAATAAAAAAATAATGCAACCAAAATTCCTGCAACCCCCCATCAGTTATCTAATAGTCCATCGCTAATGACTAATAAAAATACAGGTCTTTACTGGATTAAGTCTGGTAATTCTGGGTCCTCTGGCGCCTGCGCCACTATGCGGGCTAACCAGGACCCAACGTCTACTGGCTCGTCCTGATATCGCAGGATGAATGGGTGTCTCTGTGGAATAAATCATGCTTGGTTTATGGCTTATCGTGACTCTGTCCTCATGGATGCGAGAAAGGAGACGGAATAGGATATTCACCATTTCTACATTCCCCATAATGAGTTTGGAGGGTAACCCGTTAAATTAACATAAACGTATTTATGAACTTCGCTACCAAGGTCACAAGAAAATATACAAAAACGTGGTAAAAATACAATCTTAAAATAAGGAATAGAGTACCGAAGTGATGACGTTACAAAATATTACTTTCATTCTATCATAATTTCGATCTTCGATTTCGATAGGAAATCAAGAACGACGCTAACACGCCATATTTCAGGAGAATTGGTTGAATAGCAACAGATATACGGCCATTTGCATATAAAATTTCCCCACCAGGGCAAAAATACAGTGATTTGTATGGGGATATTATATATTCAAACGGCCATATCTCCGTTGCTTTTTAAAATTTTTTCTTAAAATTTGGCTTGTTAACGTCTTTCTTGATGTTCTATCGAAATTGTAGTCTCCCCCACAGCCGCTTTCAGTGTCGTCACGCAACGCTTTCTACTCAGGGGAGAAAGCGTTGCGTGACGACACTGAAAGCGGCTGTGGGGGAGACTATCGAAATTGAGGACCGAAAAATGTAAAAAGCAAAATTTTGTTTTTCGTGACGTCACACTTCGGTACTCTATTCCTCAATCGAAAAAAGAAAAAAACTCAAAGCTGGTTGAAGGCATTCTTAACCGGACTATGGTCTCATATAAGACATTAAAAACAAACTAAAATGAAGTCATAGATGAGGCGGTAAGCCGTGTGGGATGGGCTTGGAAATCATAGAAGAACATGCGTAATAGGTTAATTACGAGCCTTGTATGAAACGACTGAAGAAGAGTGTCAATGGGCCTTTCACAACTTCAAGTCACATTATTAATTGCCCTATTTTACTATGACGTCACATCAAAACAATCTATTGTTTAAATACGAAGGATCATGGTCGTCGTCGGAGGTCAAATCAACGCAAATTCACCAAAAATTGTAAAAAACCCGTATCAATCCACGAAGAGAAGTAGAATAGCCAGCAAACGCTCAAAATATTTTTTAGTACATATTAACACATATTATATCTGAAAACCAGGCCATTTTAGATTAAACTGTTTCGCTAGGAGCAAATTTTGTTGAATTTTCTATTGGATTTGGCGATTCTATCCCCCACATAAACAAGCAGTGACGTCATAGTGAAATAGGGAAATTACCATAATTTTTTATCAAGAACAAAATGTAAGATTATAGGAGTTGAGCTTTGTTTGACCTATACGTTTTTTCCCAGGTTGTTATAAATATATGGTAAAGGAAAGGAAAGGAATGGTAAAATGTAAACGGTTAATGAATAAAGCAAACCAAACATACCAGTAGTCCTGCATACTTTGGCCTTTTTGCTACTTCCTTGGTAAGGCTACAATAGGAAAACATGATTATGGTCAGTGATGGTTGAAATGAAAACAGATACATGGATGGATGGATGGATGGATGAGTAAATGAATGGGAAGGGTGGATTGATGGATGGATAAGTAAATGCATGGGAAGGGTGGAATGATGGATGGAAGAGTAAATGGATGGATGGGTGGATAAGTTAATGGATGGATGGGTGGGTGGGTGGATGGATGGATGGATGAGTAAATGAATGGGAAGTGTGGATGGATGAGTAAATGGATGGGTTGGTGGATGGATGAGTAAATGGATGGGTGG